GGACATTAATTAAGTCTGACATTAAATGAGAATGCAATTAGGCAAACAGTCCACACGAAACCCATTGCTTTCTGGACTTTTTTATAGCAGCTACATTTATCATTAAATAAATTTCCTTGGTATAAGATCATCTTTTTTTAAATAAAATCCGTCATTTTAGAAGTAAGCCGAACTCCCTGAAAAGTCTGAAGCAGTACCAAGCAGATCAATGAGGTAACTTTGAAAAAGGATATCCCAAAGATCAAAATTCCTGTGACTGACTACATTTTAAGTTGACTATGTATCAAGAAAAGTTTCCACAAAGTACTGATTATATTTTTAAACACTCCAACCAGGATGAACCACCTAAGAGTGTGGTAGTTTTCAAATGAAGATGAATTTCACAAGCTACACTGTGGTAAAGGAAAACTTGTAATGGAAACCACTTGAAATGCCATTGGGAAAAACATACCTCTTGCTAATTACACCATCACTTGCATGCTTACATTTATTAAGGGTCACATAAAATCCTGATACTTGGAGACATAACTTTTTAAAATAGTCATTAGACTGAAATCCATTAATTATTCACTAGAAATGCCCAGAAATTGAAACTATTTTGCTAGCAAAGCCAAATTCTTCGGAGAAGTCATGACATAAGATACATTCTATCTCTATAAAGAGCATATTGACTTATTTTAAACTTTAAATTGTATGCCCAACGAGCACAGGAAATTATTCCACTGTAAGTAAGCATAAGATGACACAGGTGAAGATACCCACTCTGTGTCACCCTACACTGAAAAAGCGTGTAAGGTACAAAAACCCCAGCAGAAAATTTTGGTACTGCAATAGAGGGAAAGGAGAAAGTTCTTCCTTTATGCTTTAAAAACCAAAAAGGATGGTTCCTTTAAAAAAAAAAATTACATGGGAGATGTGTGTTGAGCTATTTGGGGCATCATTATTATTTGAACAGTGACCTAAGCAAGTGAAGAACGGACTGTCTGAGCCGCCTGCAACCACGAGACTCCTAGGAACAGTCTGACAGAAAACATTAGGCTGGATCTATCTTCAAGGTTCACTTTTCAATCATTTTCTAAGATATAAAACCATACATTTCTTCCTTTAGGGGCCAAAATCACCGAGCCACCCCCAAGATCTAAACAGCCATAGTGTTTTACTGCAGTGGCTCCCATGGGTTTCAGTTGTTACCTCTGTATACAAACAGCTGGGCCAAGGGTTTTAGGGGTGAAGAACAACTAAACTTCCCTCTGGTGTGCATTCCCTATGCAAGGAACAGCCTAGTGACTGCACTAGTTAATGATTCAAAGGATCAGAAACATTCACTGAAGCAGCTATCGGGCAGTGCACCTGCATGGAAGCTGCCAGCTCCTCATGTAACTTTAATTGGGCACAGTTACTGGACTAACAGGGGCTGCCATCCTAGAGGACAGCCTGAAATGCTATCTAATGCACTACAATATCACTGCACAGTTAAGCACAAGCAACTGCTCTGATTTCAGTCTAGAACAACTCCCACAAAATTGTACTAGCTCAGATATAGAGGATGCCAACTACAGCTCCATCATCACAATCTTTTAAGTGAAGACACTACTAAATAAGTGATAAGTGACCAGTGTTAAAATACCAAGTTAATTGTGCCCCAAATCCTATGAATATTTAATAAGAAATATTCTTTATTTGTATTTTTATTTACAAAAATATCACTTATTAGTATGTTAATGTTCCATGCAACACTATCCTTCCCAAGTAACACCAGTAAGACCTTCAGCTCCAATATAACATAAGCTTAACATAATTTCAAAATCACAGACTTGACAATTGGGTTCAGATGCCATGGAAAGGTCAATTATCCTCTTTAAATAAGTTACTGGATCTTGCATTCTTTCCTTAGCCTAGCCTTCTTCATGTGTGATTCAAATGTCAGTTGTCCAATTTAATCAAATGTAACCCCATATGTGATTCAAATGCCATAAAAATTGAGAAATGTTATTTGAAAAACAACAATACTGAAAATCAGATCTGAAAATGTCACTTCCTGTTTACACAGAAATCTTCTAACGCTTTATCCAAAATGTAGTTAAGGACATTCAGTAGCACTTGTAAAAAACACAGCAACACAGAGTGCTGCTGTAACCCAACATCTTCATCCAAAGGATCTCCCTCCTCTTCGCCAGCCAGAATTTATCCAGAAGAAAAAAGACTGAACCCTCCTCTTGCCACCATAGCATTTCCTCATCTTTGTCATGTATTATTTATCCCAAAGCACTTAAAACTTCCTTTTTAACCTGTAATACAGTCTTAATGAATTCACTGTGCAACTGGATTTGCAAACAGTTCACTTAATAACTTAATCTCTCTCCTGCCACTCCAGCTTGCAGCAGCCTCTCCATGAAGAAGTACAGCACTTCAGCTCTTTGCAGAGGTTTTCCACCTCTGGCTCCCTGTACTTGAGTAACACCACCAGGCTATTGCTAATTCCTGTAACTTGAGGTTTGTACATATCCCAGAGAGCTGTAACACACACTCCTTGACAGACAGGATCCATAACCATTCCAACAAAACTATATCAGCAAAGTAGATTTGAAAAAGCAGGTGCTATTCCCCCCATTTTAAAGAAAAGCTACAGTGCAGAGCCTAAAGGAGAAATTAGGGTAAGAGCAAAGGGTGGCTGGCAGACTTTGTGTCTTCACAGTCACAGGGAGTGAGGACTGAAGAAGAAAGGATGCTAAAACTAAACCAAGACAAGAGGCAAGCAGTTAAGGTAAAATTAACAAAGCAAACCACACAGAGAGGGAACTGAGCTCTATTTCACTGCATGAATTAGAGGGCTTTGAGTTACTCAATTCTCAATTACCAACTCACAAAAGCAAAAAGGGTTACCTTCATCTATGCAGGACCACAAACCCCCAGCACACATCCCAGGGCAGCAGCCCATGCCAAGGATCACCATGGTGCCCCCAGGCTCAGGGCACATGAGGTGAGCAGTGAGGAGGGAGTGCTGTCACCTGTTTCACAGTGTATTACCCAGAAAACCAAATCAAACCAAATCAAGCCTGAACTCCAAAACAAGCCCTGGCATCTGATTTGTTTCTCAGTATAATTCAGGTTGTTTGCTCCAACCCCAATCTCCGGTGCAGGACGTTCCTCTCTACAGCTTGTTTCCTCCTTCTCCGGTTAACACACTGAGGCTCAGCTGAAATGTTAAGGATATTGTAAAGCCCTTGCATTTACCATGGCTTTTCTGAGACAAAAAGCTTATTTTGTAGGATGTTGGCTAAGAAGAGTTATTCTGGGAGCAAGGGGAATGCTAATGTAATGAACAGATGAACAGGATGAATTTTACATTTTCAAGCATAAATTCTTAATGAAGTTAGAGCATGGGATAAGAATAGACTTTACAAAATAAGCATGGTACAAAAGAGACATGAGAAATCAAAATCATGCTTGGGAAACATGAGGGGTGCTAGCAGATACACACACATACGAAAAAAGGAGAAAAAGTTTATCCAGTTTTAAAGGCAGAATTACATCCTCATTTGGACATGCATTTTTAAGATAAATTGGCCCCTATTTTAGCCATTCCTCTGGAATACTATGAATCTTCACAGCAAGAGCTTAGCTTTTTATCTTAAAGTCAGGGAAAACTGTGATAAGATTATCATCAACTGTCAGACAAACAAACTACTCCAGGTTGTAAGCCTCAGAAAAATATATAACATACAAACAGATCCAACATAAGAAGAAGCCTGGACCACAGCTTTCTAAATAACCACAACTCTAAATAGCCATACAGTTCTAAATAACTATACAACTGTATCAACTCTTCTACTGTAATTCTGAGAAACCCACAAAGGTGGTTCATTACAAAACTGAGGTTTTCTAAAATACACACATTATTTAGAAGGTCTCGAATGAAGACATTTGTTTTATATATGACTTTTAACATGTATGTCTACCTATATATAAGTGGAGACATAAGTGTTAGAACCCAGAAGCAGATTTAATAAATGAAGATAAATTGACTCAAACTGAATTCTCAGCTTTGAAATAAAGTACAGAATGGACAGATATGGAACTTGTAATGATTTCTGCAGTCTCCAGAGAAACATTCATGTTGAAATACTAAAACCAAAATTTATCCATTTGCAATGCTGTATCTTACTATACTTTACTGCAACATTAAAAATGGCACAAATAAATCTAAATAATACAGCTAGAAACAAAAATATATAACAAAATTGCTTGGTTTTAAAATAAATTACTTTCATAACCCACCTTACCAATGACCTTTTAAGCCATCTCAGATATAAAGAAAAAGAGGAAGTGTTAATAAATGGGAATATCCATCTTGTATTCACTTTCTTTTCTGTTCTTTCAAATTTTTATTAGGAGTTGTAGCATTATACATATTTTATAGATTAGGGAAGGATAAGAAAATTAAAATTTAAGCAGAAATGTACACAATACTAAAAATTATTTTCTGTGCTGCCTATTAAAATGTAGCGAGTAAGAAAAGAAAATCCTATTTCCAGCTGGCCAAAGTGTTTCGTACACCACACAGGCTCCTAAACAAACACAGCAGCGGGCAGAGCACAGATGCAGCCCAACACCACCTGCGTGTCCCAGAGCTCCCTCCCAGCAGAGCACGCACAGCTCCAGAACCACAAACGCTCCCCACGCCGGCCAGCACTTACAAGAGGACGATGTAGAGCAGCGAGTGCGGTGTCCTGCGGCCCAGCCTGCAGCTGCCCTTGCTCGGGACACCCAGGGGGAGCTTGCAGAAGCGACAGGTCCCGGTTCCGAGATCCATCGCGGCACCAGCGGAGGCTGCGCGCGCTCGGCCGTGGGGCACAGGCCGGGACACGTCCCCATGGCCTCTCCTCCATGCCAAAGACAAACGCAGCTCTAATCGACTGCATTTTGCTCACACTAATTGCAAGTTCCCTGCGAGGGCAATGAAGACGCTTGTGACTTTAAAGGAACACTTCTGGTCAATATTTGTGCGTTGATTCGCTTGGAAAATCGGGCGTGTAATGATTCTGGAATCTTCCAGTCTCTCCAAAGCAGAACGGGCAAACAGTTGCATTAAAATGAAGGGTGGAAGAAAGCTTGTATGGACTTCTTGTCTTTCAGTGGAAAATTTTGCCCTAAAAATTTGCTGAGAATTATAACTTGACCTGTTCTGCTATTTAAAATTTCTCATCTACTGACAAATACAAGTGAGACTCCCAGGAACAAACCAAAAATTTAATGAAGAGTACAAAAAATAATATTCACCTTCTCAGACAAGCTATAACCCAAACATGTATCATCACTTCTATTTGCACAGCATGTCTTTGATGAGAATCAGAAGAATTACTTCCAAAACCAGCTTTTTTAGTGTTTATATAATAAATGCCCATCTCAACTCAGAGATGTGACAATGCAATTCTAAGTGCACAGCCAAGTCTATTCCAGAAGGCTGGATCAATAACATCCCTGCTCTAAAGACCTAAAGGTCTGAAGAAAGGAAAGGCCAGGGAGAACAGGAAGGAAACAAAAGCACACAGAGCTCTTTCACCACAGCAAAGACTACGGTTTGAAGATTTTATTTTAGAACATTAATAATTCATAATGACAGTGTAATGTAAACTAGGTTAGAAGATTATGCTCTCAAGTACCACACAAGGGATTGAATGACAGAATAATAACAACTAGCCAAAGTAGCAAAATTTCAGGAGATAAATGACAGGAAGGGAGAACTTGGAGCACTAAAAGAAGCATATTTGAGATGAATGAACAAAAACAGGACTAGAGAGATACTGGAAAAAAGGGGAGCACAGATGCAGCCTGTAGAAAAGAGAGCATGAGTGGGTCCATTTACAGCAGAAGAAGCTCTGCAGGCTCTCTGGCATGGTAGTTATAAATACTCAAACAAGAGCATAAATTTCAGATAAAAGTTCACCATAGCTCAGGATAGCGAGACATAGCTGAAATGGGATGCCATATCAAAAACTGATGAAAACTTGCCCTGAGATCCTCTTTCCTTCTTTACATCCTAAACCTTCCTTAAGCTTTCAGGTTAATATTGATCCACTAAATGGTTTATCTAACAAAATTAAATTTTTTAAGGAAACACATTGGAAAGGAACCTGCTGCTCATGGGCAGGAACAGTCCTGGGCTGACATACACAGCTATGTAAAACAACCTCTGTATCCCCCCAGCTCCAGGCCATGAAGGTGACACCAGCTACTCACTGTTAGGACATCTCTACTATTAGTGCTTCAGCACAGGACATTAACAGGCCTCTTTGCACACTCACTGATTTTCCAAATTAAAACTAAAAATAGCCCCTGGCTGCCTCATAGTCCAATTAAAAACAAATCTTGGAAAATGCATGGCACTGTCTATCAACAATATTAAACACATGACTGTCTGGTTAAGAATTTTATTTATTTCTCAGAACTATTCCCTTGCCAGGAATCTTTCACTGCTCTGGTTGTTTCTGTATCTGTATTCAAGATCAAAATGGCTTTGACGGTGAGACTACTTGGAAGGAGCACACCACTGTCGTTTGAGGAACTCTCTGTTATTTGAGGATAAGGACAGGAGAACAAAGGCTTCAATATTTACTGCAGTCTCTTAAGAACCTTCTGAGCTCTTCATTCCTCCCTAGAAGTTGCTGATACATCCCAAACATCCCAAACTCTGAATAGTGCAGGGGTAGTAAATGAGTCAGCTCATACACGGGTGCACCAGCAGATCACAGTCTTCAAACACAACTATATAGAAAAAACAGTTATGAACCATAACCTTACATGGCTTATAGGTAAAATGGCCAACAAACAGTAAAGCTCTCCCACTTCTAAAGTCACAAGCACAAGCTCCGCTCTGGGAGCCTCCAATTTCCCAGGTCAAGCCACCAGGTTATGATTTACATTTGGTCCCATGGAGGGAAGCCAAATGGTGAGCCTGGAAGGAGACAAGAATTCACACCTCGGGCTACAAACCCCAGGGTTTAACTCTTCTGCTACTGCAGCTCAAGGCAGGATACAGGGATTTTTGCATTTACATAATGCCTTCACATGAAAAAATTATATAAGGCAGGCCACCATGCCTCAATATTGCCAACCATATTAAACAAACAGTTTCCCATCAGCCCAAGACAGACAAAAAGTTATCTGAGCCTGTCACATTTCAAGTATCACCAGTGTTTTCCTCCCATGTAGTTTTCTGGATGGGAAACATTATTCCCAAGAATAATAAACAGTACAAAGAAAAGGAATAAGGAGAAAAAATTCCATTAAAAAATAAAGCAATTCTGGGAAAGTCATTCATTCAATGTGAGATGTAGATTAGAATTCAGTTGCCAAAAGCTTATCTACTCAAAATTCATAATTTCACATTATGCATAATGATATATCCACAAGGTTGTTCTGTTTCTCATTATTCTTGAATTGCTGATCTACACTGGTTCCAAAAGTGACATTATGCCATCTTGCAGTCAACTCTGACCAATTATTTAGAACATTCAAGAAAGCAGAACCTGTACCAAATCAAGCACTAAACAAGGAGGATAACACTTACTGCAAAACCAGAACAATTTCCAAATGTCATTCAGATTGAATATAGGCCTCTTCATTAATCCTCCAGCATTTGTCGAATAGGAAATTCTAATTTAAAAAAAAAATTAAAACCTGTATGATATCAAGTGACTTTATACTAAGCAAAATTTAGACAAAGGTAGGAAACCTTCAACAACTTTTGATAAGCCTTGAGATATTTCAAAATAAGAACAAAGAAACTTTTCAAGTCTGAATTCTGAAATGTTTTTGATCTTCCTTAAAAATAAGGAAATTCTGTGTACAGCTACGGCCCTGACGTTGTAAAATATATGCAGTCTTCAAAACCCAGACCTCAGGTGATCTGGGGACGTGTGTGCCAAGAATACATCCTTGTGCTGAGGAAGGGATTTCTGCACCTGACTGAAGCAGCAGGGCTGGAGTTACAAGACCCTCATCAAGGCACACCAGCAATCCTCACACACAAGATAAAGAGCCATGGGCTAACAGGAGACCCATTCCAAGAGGATCCCCACCCTCTGGTGGGGGCTTGCTGACCAGCACCCTGCAAATCTGGAAAGCCCGTTGGATTCCTTGCAATGGAGCAGACCTGCCCAGGACACTGCCCACCCAACCTCACTCATACACCCAAACAAGCCATAGCTCTAAATATAGGTCTCCCCTCATCCACCGCAACAGCTTGTACAAAAAAGGCTTTAAATAAAGGCAGGCAGCCCTCCAGGAGATTTTCTGAATGCCTATGTATAATATATTCTTGTTACTTACCACAGTTATTGATGAAAGGCTTGTTTCCTAGAATAGGCTTTTTATGTAAATAAATTAATATATTCTTAAATTATATCACAGATGTCCATAAAATCCTAATTATATAAAACTCATAACATTGTAATTACACACTGATCAAGTAATTATGTACTGTGCTTAAAGACTATTTTGGAGCAATGTTAGGTTTCCCATTTTGTTTTACTTAAATAAGACAGCAAGGGTCTGGTCACCATCACATCTACAAATGGTGACCAGATTTTGTAGAGGCTAGCAGAATTTCTATTAAACTATTCTGAAAAGCTATAAAAAAAAATTAATAGCTATTTCCAATAGACTTCATTAAAGCTAAAATTTCCAAGGGAAAACATTCCTATAAAAATAACCTCCACCATACATCCCTATAAGAACACGTTCCACAACTGGCATGAATTCATGAAATTGAAATAGCACGACAAAATGCCCCTTGAATGATCCAGCTGAAGCCAACTCTTCCCTTGGTTTGTTAGGAAATTGAAGCAAATTTCCACTGAGACTTCACCTCAGCTGCAGCACTCAGAGATGCCAGAAAAACAGCAACTGGACACTTTCATCCTTTTTACCACAAACAAATCAAACTGTTTCTAGAATTACTGAAAATGTCTTATATCTTACTGAGGGTGTTACACAGAATGTAACATTTTCTGGAATGGGGGTAATTGCACTCTCCTTTAATCTCACGGTTCATCACTTCCAAGTTAAAACAATCAATTCACGACATCTCTTAAGCAACTTGAGAGCAAAAAATGCTGTAAAATCATATTTTTTATTAAATTAGAGGACAAATATGGGTGCACAAAGATTTGCCAGCTCATAAAGAGGACCAGCTGTGAAACATGGCCTCATTTTCTTCTTCAGTAATTTGACTTGCCTGTTACCCCCAGAAGAGTGCAAAGCAGATCCCAAGACAAAAATCAGAACTTGTTTAATTCTGGACATAATTCTCTTTTCTTCCTAAAGATGCATGACCTTAATTCCAACCCACGTTTCCATCAACTATAGCAGTCCTATTCCACCTGTTATCAATTTGGTTTTATTGTAATCAGACACATTTCCTTTTACTCTTTTGCAAAGTTTACATTATTTTCATTTGTTCAAAGGTTATGTCTAAAATATTTTCAATCTCAATTAGATTAATTCTTTCAGAAGCCATGAACTTCCATGCCATCTGTCTTGACATCAGATGCACCAACAGTTGTTCATCTGTCGACATAAAATTATCAATGGCACCACGAAATACAGGGAAGAAGGGAAAATCTCTGCAAATTCTTGTAAATGCAATATACCAAAGGTTAAAAGTGAGGAAGATTTAATGTGAAGGCACAAGTTTTTCTTGTTACATTTTCCAGCAGTTCCCTGCATAGCCATGGAAATGAATCACTGCCTGGCTAACCTGAGGTGCTAAGCTGAGCAGATCAATGACAGTGGTAACTTGCCAAGATGAACCTTTCCTCTAAGCAAGCAGGAATGGCTATCACTGGCACCGTAACCAAGTAAACAAAACTACAACAAAGAAAGACAGGATAAAACAGGATCAAGAGCTGCACAGGTGAAAGCAACAACGACAAAAATAAAAACTCATTATAGTCGACCTAAGCTCTCACACAGAACCATGTATCTGTGAATCATCAACCATTCAGTATTTAAAGAGCAGATGGCTGGAAGGTCCTCATATGTGAAAAATATTATTATCAAGGAGTCCATAGTAACAATGGAATAAAGCTTGCTATTTAGACTTTTATGTGAACTGTTCTTAAAGAGTAAATTATTCACTGACCCATGTCAGAACGCTGAAAATTGAAGGTTTCTCAGAGAAAGAAAAAACAGTAAGTACCAAAAACACTCTTGAAAATAATCAATAAGCATCAGATCTCATCTCCAAAAAGAACTGTTCTCAATTGACTTTAACAATAATCTAATCTTTACATTTAATTGCCACTTACCAGTCTGTTAATTAGCCCCAAGGCTAAACAGCATTTAATTGAGTTTAACCACCCTTGTTTAAAGGAACATTACCCAATACCAGCCTTTAAATAATAAAAATTCATTTAAAATTAGATTGATGGCCATGACATTGAAATGTTAGGAGACTGCTCTGTAGTCACTGCCCTTCACTTCCCCCAAGTGCTGCAAAGTGAGCACCTTATTAAGAATTGTCACCAAGTGCTGCCCATCATGCAGGAAAGCAGCAGATGCTGGGCAAGCCTCTCCCCATGGCCATGCACAGTGAGGACAGACACATGCAACCGTCCCTTTCCTCTGCTGACAACCTGATTTCCACTCAACAGATGTCATATACATTACTCTGCATTAGAGGGGCAGAAGCCTAAAATAGTTCAACTTCACATTTTCTGGTTAGTCCTACCAGAGCTGGCCAGCAAGACCAACCTCCCTCTGAAATAACATCTAGATTCAGGGGCTATAGCATTACCACCTGATGAGTAACTGAAATTTGACCAGCCACATCCACCCTGCAGCATGTGAACTTCAAAACCAGCCCTCTGGTGCTATGTTGGCTCAAGTTTTAAGTAGGTACCACTGAGCTCCAGTTTCATAACCACACATGCAAAGATCTCCAGCGTGTGTGAGCCTTTGCCTGGGACTGTCCCCCTGAGAGCTGGTGACATTTCCCCTGAGTGAAGAAGCTGAAGGTTTCCACTGGGGTGGTTGATGGCTGTGCCTGTCCCACAGGAGCCCAGTGAGGAACAAGAGCTAATCCTGAAGGGTAAATATATCAGTTGAGCTGCTAAGTGCTTTAATATAAACTGAGCTGGTTTGGGCTATTTTTGCTTTAGAAACTCTTGCTAACAACAGGCTTGATTCTACTCCTTATCCTTTCTATACCCTGTGCTTGGAGACTTCAGCCTGCCAGCCTCTGTAAGAAAGCAGAGTGCGTTTCCAGGGAACAGAAGATGGTGTGGTATTTAGCAGAGACCCACTATTTAGACAGGGGTTTTTAAGAACCCCCCTTTAGGCTGCTTTACTTTTAAAGCTGTTTTCCTGACACCAGACATGCCTGTGAGGGCTCCTCTGCTGCAGGGTACAAGCTGCACATGTGCCAACACAAGGTACCACCAGGAACAGGCATGCACACACCAGCAGACAGGTTTCCATTCCTAAATCAAATTTATCATTTTCCCTACATAGGGCCTACACACAAACTACAAAAAGTTTGTCCCAATACGCAACATCCACTTGAACACTAAATGGCTGGAAGTAAGTTGTGAGTAGGAAGCTGTTTCCTTCTGTTAGATGTTATTCTCTTGAACTCTAAAGCTGTTAAGTTCATAGATGGTTATGCCAACACCAAACTGTTAAAAATCCCTAGTTGATACCTCTCCTTACCTCCACTGAAAAGGATGGCTGTAGCACGGACTAGATGGATTGCTCTGGGCTTGTGAGTTCAGGTAAAATACTAGAGGAGAAGTGACAAGTGCACAGTCAGCACTAAATGGGAATTTAAGATGCTGCAGACCTGGAGCAGATGTAGGAGAGAACATGTGCTGATGAACCTCATTTCCTCGGCAGTGGGAGAACAAAGGAGAGGAGATTCTGACAAGGTACCACAGCAGAAAAAAAAAATCATGGTCAATATCACATTTTCTGTTTCAATAAAGAAAAAAAAAATTTCAAAATACAAGTTATATCTTCTAAACAAATGCAATAAACTAAGTGGTAAAAAGTCATTCCTTTCCATTATCATCCAAACCAAAATGTGTTTTTCAGTCAATTTAATATACATTCAAAGTTATTTTTCCACTACAAAACCCCTCAATCTGGAATTATCCAAATCCTTTTTTGCAGTGATTTCCAGGCTTTCTGGAATACACACCATTGTCAATCTCTAATTCAAATGTTTAATTGAGAAAAATTAATAAATTAATAATGGCACCAGCAGCACACATAGACCATTTCTATCACTGCCTTCACAATTTGGGAGCCATGGTTCCATGCCACAGCTGTGGCAATAACCAAAGGACACAACTATGAAAATATGAATGACACAAACTATTAACTAGAAAACAACATTTAGCAGTGGCAGTTGTTTTAGAGCAACAACTAATTAAGCCTGAAAGCAGCACTGCAAAATGGCTTTATTCTAATTTAGCAGAGGGGAAACTGAGGCATGAAGAGGTTTAGTGACATGTCCACAGCACATCCATGGTAGCATCAGGATTGTAGCTGAGGGTGCTGATGCCCAGCTCTGTGCTCAGTTTTGTGAATTATCCTGCTTTTGCAGGGTCAGCAGCCAAGGCACGTTTTTATTCACACAGGGAACAGAAGAGGTCTCAAAGTAGCTGCTTTCCAAAAAGCTGCAAACAGACTTGTACATAAACACAGAGCAGAGGTTCTAACACCTACTTTAGTGAACTATACACGATGAGATGTCCTTCACTAGAAATAAAGTAAAAGTTAACTTACAATTATTGGTATTACACTGTATGCTTATGTATTAGAATACAAATTAGTGCCACTGTATTCTTACACTGATAACTTTGATTTTTGACTGAGGGCTGAAAAATATTTTCTATTTACAATATTTAAACACAAAAGTGAGCAAAATGGAAATTTAGGCATGCTTCAGTTTTGGTTAGAATTCAGATATTTTACACTTAGCATACTGAAGTCAAGCATGTTTGTCCATTTTCCTAGCTTTTAATTTCCTAGTGAATCTAAATACTTATCAGTAAAGCAACCTTTATATACTGGAAATCCTCCCCACCAGCAATCTCTGCTTAAACAGCTGATGAGCTTTACAGTCTGCAGACAGAAAAGGTTAAGCCTGCCTCTTACCCTGCTCCTCCCTCCACTGACTACAGGATAGATTCTTTTCACCTCCTCTACTTATGAACACAGTACTAAACATACAATTTCCTTAATTTTACCTAATAGAAATAATAAATATAATTACGATCATAAATAGCAGTATCCATTAGTAGATTTCAAAGCACTTATAAAGGAAAAGCATTTAAAAAGGAAATGTTTGTTAAAATTCCATTTGTAGAAATACATGTGACAATGCAGCAATGTAAGCTAAGACTTCTTGCTTCAAATCTAGAAGTTTTCAAAAGCATTCTTAATTCTAGAAGACAGCAAAGGTAGCAAAGGTTTCTGAAGATTTTAGCACTGTGACAGCTTTCTGACAGATTATTAAAAGTGTTTTTTAAATCTGAAGAATGATCAAACTAGAAAGACAAAGTTACAAACATTTAGTTTGACTACACTAACGACTGGGACAAAATTTAACCACAATGTATCCCAGTTAAAAGCCTTGAAACATTGCTCTTTTTTTTTTGGCTACCCTTCATGGTTAATACTCCACAAAAGTAAAATGCTAAAGCTTCCAAAACAAAATTTAATGTACAGCCAAATAAGCATGACAAATAAGAAAGTTCTAACAAATCAAAGCAATGTCTATTGGCCACAGAAAATTCTGGCCGGTTTTTCTTCTTCATAGCTTCAATCTGAAATTATTAGGTGCAATTTATTTTTCACAACAGTCCTTACTGGATCCGCAGAGATGGGGCTCCAAGCCTCTGTTTCCTCCGCTTCATCATTGTGCTGATACACTGATATGCCTCCTCCCAGCCTAAGAGGCTTAGGGCTGGGAGGGAGAGGCCACTGTTATCACTCCAACGCAGAGCACAGAACAATCAGTGCAATTCCGAGCTCTTCACACACCCCCAGTGCCACAGAGACCTCGGCAGTTCAGTGATGGTCCAGATTAATCACACAGCTCATGTCAAAAACCTAATTACTTATATTTTTAAAAATTCTGATTAAAAGATCTTCTGCGAGGCTGCTCAGAGCATCCGTGAAAGGACGCGGAGCGCGGCAGAAGGGAAGGAAGGTGCCCTGACACGGAGGGGCCGTCTGACCTGTCACGGTGCCAGCAACGCGCTCCTGCCGCGCTCCGGCCGCCCCATGTCCCAGCTCCGGGGGCAGAGCTGCCTTCCCCGGCGGACAGCCACGGGGCCGGGGCACAGTGAAAGGCTCGGGCAGAGTCTCGGGCCTCGGGAGCAGCCCGAAAGCCGCCGGCGCTGGGCAGGGCAGCGCCCGCTCCCAGGGCCCGGCAGAGCCCTCAGCGGGCGCGGGAGCAGCTGCGCCCGGCCGGCGGGACACGGACCCAGCCCCCGCTCGGAAATCAATCCCCTCCACTTGCAGCTTAAACACCTCCCCGAAACTGTGTTCCAGACAGAGACTTCACGGATTCCAGCGCCGAGAGCAGGGCAGAGCGCTCGCAGCAGCCCGGGGAGCCGGATGCCGCAGGGGAGGAAGGGGCAACACCTTCACTAGGAGGAAATGTTCCCTTCACACTTCTGCCTGCAAACGGTGACTTCAATCAGCTCAAAATCTATTCTGTGCTATTAACAAAACTGCCCAAATCGATGTCCAACATTTTTTAAATGTGTATTTGTAAGAATGTTACTTTCCTCAAAAAAGTTTCCACATATATGTTTGATAGGCTTTAGAGTGCTAAAGGCTGTATTTAGGCTGCTATTCACAAGTACTCATCAACCAAGTCAAATTCCAGTTGACAGCTCGGATCTTCAGACCTTCCCATGATTCTGATTAGGAAATCCCAATCTCTCAGCAATTAGGAAAACAGAGTGCCAGGCTGAGGACGAAGGGCCGGGATGGTTGTTCCTTACACAAGCAAAGCCCCTGTCCCCACACTGTGCCTCTGGAGTCAGCACAGCAAGCAACAAAAAGTACAAATTTGGTATGCTACGAATAATTCTATTGTACTTATTAAATGAGAGCCTGGATTAAGTAGTGGAAACTTGACAATAAAAACTGCGCAAAATACTTTTTCCACTTTTAAATCCTTGATGAAAACCTCCATAAATTCTTTGTCTCTAAGATTACAATCTATACATAACACTAGAATACTCCTGATTCACCAAATCACTTCTTTTAAAGAAACAAGACTTTCAAATAATTTTTAAAGTCTAATACAGGAATAGCAGCACTGCTGTGGAGCCCCACAAGAATAATTTGCACGTTCCACCTCCAGAACCAGCCCCGTGGATCAGCTTAAGAGCAGCAGGTTATTTTTGACCTACTGCTTGTGAGCTGCTTCTACATGCTCAGAGAAGGATGGGGTGGTCAGAAGAGTGCACCTCTTTCTCTTCCCATCTATATAAAGCACCACAAGCAGCATGCATTGACCGGAGGCATTATTTCTTACTTTATTTCCACATCCAAATCAGAACAGAGTGCAAAAGCAGCAAAATTCCCTACTCCTTTCCAGACCCATTTTTCATCCACTTCCTGCACTTTGGCGTTCCCACTCTTGGGACGATGGCACTTGCTCCTGGCAGGGAAACGGCATCGATCCATCACCAGCAGAAACACTCACCCGCCAAGACGAGCAGAAACTGAATTATATACTCCATTTCTCTGCAGATACAGAGGAAATTCCCACAGCACCTGAGCATGGCAGCACGAAGACACAAACCACTAAAGGCCAGAAATTTCCTTTCCTGCCATCAAAATTCTTATTGTTTCAAAGGTCTAAACATTAAAAAGAACACAAGTAGTTCAGCACATCACCCCAAAGAAATTCCTTACTGTGTTTGTGTGTTATTTTACTGTCAAGAAGTTGGGGGCAAGTTTAACAAATTATGATGAAGACTTGTTTAATGAAACCCCCTCAGAAATGTTTAGGGCAGCAGAAACTAAGAATCTTCAGAGGTTTAAAGTAGAATGGTAGTGCAGAGAAGAAGGGAGAGAATGAGAGAAAACAAGTCCCACAGGGGACATAAGCTGCCTTAAAAAGCGATTAGAAGGAATAAAGACCACCATAAAAGGCTTGCACACATCTTCAGCAAACACTTTATGTTCCTTGCCATATTTCAGAGTTAGACATAAAAGCTTCAGGTAAATACTACTCTTCACCAGCCCCAGTCACCATCAAAACAACAATGTGTAATATTTGGTTCATATAAATGTGTATTTTCACTATATTCTGAATTAAAACTATTTATTCATGTTTCTTATGCCCCCCTTTTCTTTTGCCATTTGTATACAGTCTTTTTAAGTATATTTGATACAGATGGTTGATAGCAGGAAATAATTAACAAAAAAACCTTACAGCTGAAGTTAGAAACTGGTTTAGCAATTTTAGTTTGCTGAGGAAATTACTCTTTTCAAATTTGGATATAATATGGGAAAGCTGTGTTTTCTTTTTACAAAATTTTACATTTAGAAAGCACAAAAACTACAGCAACCCACACTATGAACCCTGCCTTAGAAACCATGAGGATTTAAAATATAAACCCACATTTTTCATTAAAAAGTCTGAACAGGTCAGTAAAGTTTATGGTATACAGAACTGAATATATAATTAATTTTTTATTATTATTATTGGGATACTGAACAAGAAACCAGATGGCTCAAGGGCAACCCCAACTGGATTTAGTGACTACTGCTCAGCCAAGGAGGCAAGCAGAAGCAATAGTGAGGCCCTGGCTGCTGCTGGGCATCCTGCAGCCACGATGAAATGCAGTTTGCAGCCTGATCTGGTGCTGAACTGCTCTCAGACACCTGAACACACAGAGGTGCTTCACCACGGGATGCTCCTGCTGCCAAGTCCCCACTTTTATTCTTTCAAGTCTGGAACATCTCTACTGCACGTGCAGGTGCACATCAAAACCATGTGAAACTGCAGCCAACAATACAAAAAACAATCTCTGTACAGAGAACAGAACAGGAAAATGGCTGAAAATAATTAAACCACTTCAACTAATAGGCTGGAGATCAAAGTTTGAGTCTATCATGCCACATTCACTATTTGAAACTAAAGAAAATATTCATGAATGGTAATTATTTCTTTTGTGAACAAAGCATGGGGAAAAACATAACCAATACATTTATGTGCATAATTCATTAAAGGAAAACTTTGAACTCTGATTATTGAACCACACCAGAGACAAAATATAACTACCTATTCCTGTTCTCTAACTATTCAGTCTCTCAGCAGCCTACAACTCAGCTGAATATCATCTCTTTTAGTGCATTAAACATAACCCCCCATAGAAACACAAACACTTTAAGCATATTAACAACAAAATGGTATCTAAATTATCAGGCATTTCTCTTAATGTCATCCTGCATACAATTCCCCCATCTATTTTACATGTCTACTCACTCTGTGTTGATTATTTCAAAATTAGGATTGCAAGATTACCCAAGTGCAAAGCCATCCTTTACAGTGTGTTTCCTTCTGCTAATATGGAAACAGTCATCAACACTCATCAACAGATTTCACAGGCTCCATCCCACCATTCATTCTTTTCAGCTCCCACCCAAGAGCTTCTTTAGGTGTCAACATTGCTCATGTTCTCCTGACAAAAGCAGTGAGACATGTAACTCCACTCCTTTTCCTTTCCACAAATAAGCACAGCAACTCTTGTTGTCCCTGTTTATAATTAGTTCCTGCAATATAATAATGATTACTCACAACAATCCAGGAAATAAGAAGTATTGAAAGTCACACAAAGAAAAAGTTAGAAGCATTGTCAGGAATAGCTCATCCTTTTTCATTCAGCAATGACAAATACTCGAGCTGATCTGCAGGCTAAAACCTTTCTAACTCAACAATCCAGCAAAGCAATCACCAAACCAGTCAGCAGTAGAGCAGTAGTAGATTTTTCACAGAATTAAGTGCACCCCAACCTCCAGACTAGCACACAAAAAAAAGCTGAGTGGCTGATTTCTGTATATACTTCAGCTGCTACTGAACTGCTACAAAGGCTGGAGTTTGTGCAGAAAATGGATGCACCTCTTGAGGGTTTCTGGCTCCAAGCCAGGTACTTCATCCTCCTGTCCATCCCTGCTTCTGCTTCTGTCAGTGAACAAAAGTCAGTGACTGACAGTCAATGAATCAGGACATGGTTACAACCACAACTATCCCTGCTCATCAGCCATAGCACAGCAGCAGCTTTTCAGAATAAATTTTATTTTCAGAATTTATTTTTACTTATGAGGTGCACAGTTAAGTTGATTCCAGAGAAGAAAAGCCTCCAGAAGAACTGAAAACTGCCCACAGTTATAATGCCACTCTTTGACAGAATGGTTGAACAAATTTATACATAGTATATGTATATTTTTACCTTATATTACATACATATATTATAATTATTCCCTTGATATAAATTACTCTAATTTCTACTTAAAAAACAAAGAGGATTTTTTTTTTAAATCAAGTAACTCTGATATTGGGATATGCAAAATCATACAGATCAACTCCACAAGAGCCTTTTCAGTGAACCTGTACACTTCACAGTACAGCATCAACACAGGTCTACATCAGCCACAATGCATACTGACTTCATGAACAGTTAAAACTTCTCAAACAACAAGACCTCATTTGGTTCTGCTACACTTGGTACTTGACTATAGAATCTGTAATTCCAGAAACTACAATCAAATAATCAACTAGATAACACAGGTAACTAAGACATTTCAATTCTTCATAGATTTTTAGTCTCACTAATAGCTGCAACCTTGTGCTTAAAATTTATGGCCTGGATCTTCTGGCACAGGTTGCTAAATTACTTCACATAGTGACAGCTTAAAAGGCACTCACTCGTGGAAGAAAACTAAAGTGAAGTAATGAAAATTGCAGGAGTTAAGTAATACAGAAATAAAATATTCAGTCATTTGGTTTAGTTACCAGTAACTAAAACATTACACATCTGAAGCACTTCCTTTGTATTACAGATAGTTCAAATGAAAATATGTAAGTAGTCTTGTGCCATACCCACCTCCATGCTGGAATGAGCTGGAATATCTCTGGCATCCTCAATTTCAATTCCAAAAGTTTTGTGCAAAAATTATATTCAACAAAAAACTTACTGGTAACTCACTGCTCCACTATTTGATCAAAGAACCTTCATAATCTTCAAATGATGAACACCACCTGTCTTAGAAATCTCTCAAATCTAGTTAAGCCAGCCTTTGAGGCATACTGGTTAAAAAAAAACCCCAAAACCAGTCAGTGCTTCATGTTCTTTAAATAACTCCCTGACTGGTTTATCATTGTCATATGAACTAAACAAAAAGGTCTGGTCATGCCCCACTTTTAAAAAGAGACCTTTTGATCCTCTGCATTGTTCAGCCCTGAATCACTAGCTCTACACAGCATTTTCCAAACACTGTTTCTTATACAAAGGGGATAGCTTACACTGAAAGACTGAAAATCATTTCTCATTAGAACCAGAAACCTGAGGAAGAAAGGTTATAAGCTTTTGTGTGCTTCATGTCTGTAGTCCACAAGCTTTGGGAAACAATTTTAAATCATAATGCAATAGCAGGCAGTACAAAAGCTTTCTCTTTTATGTAATACAATCAATAATGCAATTTCTTCCACCATAAATCTGTAAGCATAGCAGAAGCTAAGCTCTTATAATACCATTGAAACACCAAGTTAGTTTGCTAAAATTCTTTAAGCATCATAATGCATTTAAAAAAATTGCTGTTTGTTTAAACAACAGTTTTAAAAGCCTACTTTTCCTGACATATCTTTATTGAGATACTTCTATCAGGCTGTCTGCTCCACAAACACCTGACCTGTGTGGCCCAGGAGCTTTGTGCTTAGACTTCTGTCAACAGACTGTTTGAAGAGCAGTGATCAGAGCTGTCCATATTGCATAAATAATCAGTGACTCCTCTGGAGTCACTGCAGCCACGTCGGAGTGGCAGCACTCAACACCACAACTACTTTGGTATCAGGATCAGCTCAAGCTGGTAATTAGAAGTAAGCTTACACTACCACTGCTTTTCCTGCTACACTTAAGGAAATGAATAGAGGCTTCAGTCTCACAGAAATCCAAGCTAGCTGTTTCCAAGCCCATGACAGATTCTTGAAAATGTTTAACACAGGAAACAGAGCATCTGCCCATTTAAATTACTTCCACAACTGAACAGCTATATATGTTCAAAACAAACCAAGGGATGAATAAAGAATAATTATACTTACAAGCTTCCTCTTCTGGGGAGACTGAGCTCTTTCTGGAAAAAAAAATAAGAATGAAAACATTGAGTTAATTTTACTTTTTATTATATATTACTGATTTATTCATCAATAAATGAGTGAGGTGGAATGAATAAAGAGCTGGCCATTTCCCAGCGCATGCTCAGTGTGGAACTGCACAGCTCTGCTGCTGCACATTCACAAAGCACAGTCTGGGGTATGAGAGTTGCTCATTTTGCCTAAACAATCATTGCCTTTGGAGTTAAAAATCATAAGCACTCAACAGAGCAAACATAACTTTGAAATTCAAGCCTGAGCAAAGATAAGGCAGTAATTAATTCTGTCCTACATACCTCATCAGCATCAGACCAAACCACTTCCAGAAGCGTGGAACGTGGTGTGCCTGCAGCAGCTGCAGTATGGTCTCACAGTCTCACCAAAAGGAAGAATTAATGCCATAGAGTGGATCTGGGGGGTGATTTGGGGTTTTTTTCAGAAACACACATTTATTGTATTACGTATTATCAAAAAACTTCGAGACCAAATACAATTTCCACTTCTCAGCAGCATTTTGCATTTCAGCAGCACAAGCAAAGGCAGAGGGGAGATTTTGGGGGTTTTATTGCAGCCGAGAGCCCGGGGGCATCCCCAGGCGCCAGCACTGCTGGACACTGCGCATCCCCCGGCACTGCCAACCCGGCACTGTCCCCATCCCGGCACTGTCCCCATCCCCGGCACTGCCAACCCGGCACTGTCCTCACCCCCGGCACTGTCCCCATCCCGGCACTGTCCCCATCCCCGGCACTGTCCCCATCCCGCCACTGTCCCCATCCCGCCACTGTCCCCATCCCCGGCACTGCCAACCCGGCACTGTCCCCGTCCCGGCACTGTCCCCATCCCCGGCACTGTCCCCCATCACTGTCCCCATCCCGGCACTGTCCCCATCCCGGCACTGTCCCCCATCCCGGCACTGTCCCCCATCACTGTCCCTATCCCATCACTGTCCCCACACCGGCACTGTCCCTATCCCCGGCACTGTCCCCATCCTGGCACTGTCCCCATCCCGGCACTGTCCCCCATCAGTGTCCCCATCCCGGCACTGTCCCCCATCAGTGTCCCCATCCCATCACTGCCCCCATCCCGGCACTGTCCCCATGCCGGCACTGTCCCCATCCCGTCACTGTCCCTATCCCCGGCACTGTCCCCCATCACTGTCCCCATCCCATCACTGTCCCCATCCCATCACTGTCCCCATCCCATCACTGTCCCCCAGCACTGTCCCCATCCCATCACTGTCCCCATCCCCGGCCCCGCCCGGCTGCGGGGCTGCGCTCCCGCCGGACACCGCCAGGTGGCAGCCGCGGCCGCCGCCCCGGCCCCCGATTTTGGGGTTTTCTCCTCAAAAATCGGCCCGGGCTGTGCTCGTCCCCGGCTGCTTCGCTCCGGCCGAGCCCGGCAAGCAGCAGCACAGCCAGTGCCAACTGGATGTCAGGGTACTGATCTACGGGATGTATTTTATATCCCCTCTAAGAAAAAAAAATAAAAAAATCAGCGTTTCCCCTCAATACTGAAAAAAAAAAAATTAATAGAAAAAAAAATCAAATCCATAACGTTGGTAAGTTAATATCTTTTCCATCTTTAGCTACAGTGTTTGTGTTGACTGACATGACTGACAATGCTATTGACAGGCAGTGACTGGTCTGTCTGATCAGTCATATGTGGGATTTGGCTTCAAGTTTTTCAAAGATACCAAAAAGTTACAGCCACTAATAACAAATAAATAAATAAATAAATAAACTCTTACATGCCATTATTCTTTTTAAGTATTACTTCTCCATAATTCGAAACTTCATTACAGTTTAACAGTACCAAGCAAATTCCATGTGTGAATTATCTCAAGGCTGACAGCTTACAGCGTCGAGAAATAAATTCCTGTCATCAGACAAACTTGTCAAGATCTAATCAAAACACTTCAAGTGCGTAAGATAATAAATCATTAGCATCTGTAATAGGTTGTGTGGTTTATATTCTAAAAAAGGTATTTCTTCCACTCTCATTTGTAAGAAAGATTTAGTTTCCAACTGTGAAACCTGTGTAAGCAAGGACAGCTTTTTGCTACTGCAAATTAATAAAAAAACAGGTAAAATATAGATATTATATGTTATTCTGCTTCTGTGGATAGTGTGTTACTTAGACATGCATATACATCTCTTTCGTCATATGAGCAGCTGTATTTAATTTATGCTTTTTAAAGAAGATGGCACCTCTTGGCAGAAGGCACTTTTTCTATTCAAATGACATATTTCTGTTGATTCCAACACAGTCAGCCCCAGAAATTTTTAGAATGTATATATAAAGCTCTGGAATTTCATAGTACTGGATGAAAAAGCAAAACAGTGACCTTTAACTCTCTCTAGATACCTTCTAGTTTTTGAACTTCTAGGGTTCATTTTTACAAGCTTTGCTCTAGTCATTAGAGCTGAAAAGTCATTTAAAGAGAGAACACTCCCTTGCAGCAGCACAGCTCTGGTAATTGTGACTTGTAATTACCAGACATACATCACAAGAAACATGGTCCAGGAACAGGAATGGACAAATCCTTTCCTTTACAGAATGCTTGCTCTACTCAAACAATATGACATTTAATACTTCCTACAATGTAGATAATTCAGGATAAAATGCATGCTAGTTTAGGAGGAGGACTGCCTAGGGCTTTGTTCCTGAAAGCATCCCTTGGAAACTGAGTTTCCAAACAAGGAAGGAACAAAGTCCTAGCAGATGACATCTCAATGCAATTGAAATGTTATCCTATCCATGTAGGAATTGTCTTCATTCTGCACTGCCACCTTGACAAACACAGTGCAGTGTGGAATCAATAGGCAGTAGTTCACATTTAATACCACTGTGGTCTTGACAACAAAGAGCACAATCAAAACAATCAATTTTTATACCTGTTGTTCCACTATGCCTCAGTTCATGTTAGTCTTAAAATCCCTCTCACAAACCCTAACAGCCACACAGCCCAACACGACGCGGCCTCTGCAGCACTTTCCATGTCCTCTGGAGAAATGACAATGCCCTCTCCCAGCTCTCTGCCCTTTTCTGCCCCTCCAAAGCTGGTAACAGCCCCTATAATCCCCCAAACAGGCCATGAACGGTGGGGCCAAAGCAAAAGCACCAGAGCTGGACATTACACAACCACGAGCAGTGTAATTATGAGATTTGCTTTTCCCAAATCACCAGGGAGTTTGTGTGTGAAGAAGTTACATCCCAAAGAGAAAGTGCCTGGAGATGGAAAGAAGGAGGGAGCAGACTGCAGACAACTGCTGAACTGGGGCAGGCACATTCTTCTCTCTCTCAGGACTCTTTCATAGAGGAGCACAGAGAGAAGAAAGAGAAAACAATTTCTATTCCTGCTCCTTGTTTTCCCATGTGGAATGTATTTGGAGAATTGTTTACCTGGGGTGAGTGCTTGATTGGATTCTGGTGAGGATTGTTTGAGCCTGATGGCCAATCCAACCCACCTGTGTCTGAACTCTCCAGAGAGGGCCAGGAGTTGTGAGTTAGTTAGATATGGTAGTTAGAAAAAGCAGGAATGTAGTTTTAGTGTCTCCTTTAAATAGTATATTAATGTATTATAGTATAGTCACAAAAAAGAAATCATTCAGCTTTCTGAACCGGAGTCAGACATCCTCATTTCTTCCCACCAGCTTCACCTGCATTTACAATACTGAACTATTTCCTGTTTGAGGATGCCCACTGCCAGAGAACACTGCAGATCTCCAGGGGATCAAGGGGACAATGAAAATGCCTCCCAGAGACGGGGATACACTCATGGGGTTGAGACTCAGCTGGGTGTTAAAACAGCTCAACACTTCAATGTGTGCAATGGGACCAACTGAGAATTTGTATCTTATAAGGACAGGGTGATTTCAAACATATGAAGTAGCACTACAAAAACAGTGATTCAATAATTATGAAAAATGTAAGGGAAAAGTCTAACAGCATTCCACAAGCATCTTATAAAGGCTAAAGTCTACTCAGAATCATATATAGTATGATTTATAGTAGAGATTAAATGTTTTAGTTAGTAAATTATGAGGTAGGTGGTATGATTTAACTGGTTTCCACTCACACCACAAAGGAGTTTGGCATTACATGTCCATGAATCTGAAAAAATGAATCACATTTTAAGAGGTGAGATAACTAATAAAAGAGTGCTGAGCTGTGACTACTTGGTCTGAAACATTATTTAAAGGGTGCAGCTGTAATCCTTTCAATATGCTAGTTTATCCTGAAGGACATTTTTCATTAAAGATCACCCTTCTGATGAGAACACAGGAACCTGCAAGATTCCAAACTGCCCCTTCCAACAGCACATCTGCCTCCCTGAGCACTTGTGCTGCCAGTAGCTATATTTATATTGCCATTATTACTCCAGCCAGCCTCCATGCCACCTGCTCTCTAGGTCAACAATATAACCCTCAAAACAGAGGCTTACATCTATATTTGATTTATATGAAGTGCTAAATAGCGTAAGAATGTTATAAAATATTGGTGCACATTATTCACAAAGAACTTTCAGAAGTGGAAATAAAGAACTACTTTCACAGATCCTAAAAAATAGGGAGTGTATTAAATCTTGCAGTACCCAAATGACAAGAACAGACTGTTCTGAAAGTTAATTTTTTGTACCAGTTCCACATTTCAAGGCATAATTATTAAACATGCAACTTGATCTCTACAAGACAAAAGAAGCAGCAGATTTTCAGACAAGCAGTTAAAAAGGAACCTTGGGAAAGAAATTCAGCATCACAGAATTTATAAAAAGCTGATTCAAATATCTGCCTTCAAAAGAGTTCCTTATATTTCCTTTTATCTTAAGTTCATCACCTCAATCATGAGGCTATAAAATCAGTTGGATATCATATCATGCTACAGAAGAGGTCTCACAATAAGACCAGATCCTCATTTTACAGGCAGAAAAGAGGCTAAAAGAGAAAAGTTACCATTCATTTGAAAGATCATTTTTCTGTTT